GGTAAAAGTTACAGGAAAAATAGAGAGAGAGAAGAGAGAGAGAGGGGAAGTGGCGGCGAAACAGAAGAGAAAGAGATAAAGACTCCGGTTAGTTTATATCCTGTATAAAGTAGATTATTATGGTGATCCTCGGCGCTCGGGAGGTGGTTCTGCTCAGGCCAGAGGGGCAGGACATGTTCCTAGAAACCAGAAGGAGACTCGGGAGCCCGTGGGGGAGGTGGGTTATCCTCAAGGCAGGGTCAGGATTGCTGCAGTCAGAATCAAATCAAATGGTCAAGTCTGACTCGGCGAGATTGGATGGGTTTTCAGAGAAGTTCTCATCTCGTCCTCCTCTTGTCCCGCCTTTTTCTGCCCCTTTTATACCCCGCAGCAGCCAGGACATGGGGGGTACCTTGGTCACCCATGTCATCTGTCTGTCTGTCTGTCTTGTGTGTTAGGTTGGGTCAGGTTGGCCTAGGTTGGATTAAGTTGGGTTAGTTTATGTTAGGTTGGGTTAGTTTGGATGAGGTCAGGCTATGTCGTGGATGATAGAGAGTGGTTGTTACTCTCGATAGGAGCTGCCATGCACAGTCCAACCGGCCTATTGCAGACTCCTTATTTTTCATATGTTCTTATGTCAGGAAAGGTCAGGTCAGGTCAGGTCAGGCAAGGTCAACAAAAATCCCAGCAACCCATTTATACATTTTCTTCAACTCTCTGCCTTTTGACGCTGAACATCCCAACCCAACCCCACCCTACCCCAGCCCACCCCACCACCCCACTCCAACCCCAGCCAGCAACCCACCCACTACTAGCCCACCCCACACCACCCACTCAACCCCAACCCAACCCCACCCTACAACCCAACCCCACCCCACCCCACCCCCACTCCAGCCCACCCCACCACCCTACCCAACCCTACCCCACCCCCACCCCAACCCCTACCCCACCCCACCCCACGGGCTCTGTCTAATTTGAATAATTTACATAATTTATCGCTCCCTTTCCCCTCCCCAGCACCAACACATCAACATAACATATTAAACTCATCATAACTCCGCCACACACACACACACACACACACACACACACACACACACACACACACACACACACTGAATGCCAGGCAGTGTGTAAACAACATTAATTAGCGGTTCCCTGTGACAGATGGATTTGCCCCCGTGATGAGGGAAATTTTCGTGAAATCCTGGAGCAGATAAAAGAGTTTGGTGGGATGAGGAAGCTCTTTCTCCTTGAGGAATGTTAGAAATTTGTCTGCGACGTTAATGGAGAATGTGTAGACTTTCTTGCCTGTGTAATGAGATGGAATGAGAGAGAGAGAGAGAGAGAGAGAGAGATCCGTCTTCCTGTAGTTACATCTTAAGTCAAGGGTTAAGTCATCGTACTCAAGGGGTTAAGTCATCGTACTCAAGGGGTTAGGTCATCTTATTCAAGGGGTTAAGTCATCGTACTCAAGGGGTTAAGTCATCGTACTCAAGGGGTTAAGTCATCGTCCTCAAGGGGTTAAGTCATCGTACTCAAGGGTTAAGTCATCGTACTCAAGGGGTTAAGTCATCGTACTCAAGGGGTTAAGTCATCGTACTCAAGGGGTTAGGTCATCTTACTCAAGGGGTTAAGTCATCGTACTCAAGGGGTTAAGTCATCGTCCTCAAGGGGTTAAGTCATCGTACTCAAGGGTTAAGTCATCGTACTCAAGGGGTTAAGTCATCGTACTCAAGGGGTTAAGTCATCGTACTCAAGGGGTTAAGTCATCGTACTCAAGGGGTTAAGTCATCGTACTCAAGGGGTTAAGTCATCGCACTCAAGGGGTCGAGAAATTTTCACCTTTCAGATTTCACTTCCGGATACGTCCCATAGCCAGGCGGAGAGGAGAGTCAGGCGCTACCCATTGCTCGTGTTGGCGTTGGTTATTCCAGCACGGGCGTTTGTTTACCTGGTAGCATTGTGGATCTTGTGGTCATGTTTGTTTGTTTGTTTACGTGAGAACAATTATATCGTGTTTTTATTTAATGTTTAATGTAATATAAACAAAAATAGGGTTGAGGGTTGCCCACTGACTTCGAAATAGGAATAAAAAGATAATAACAGCTAAAAATAGTTTA